GCATTACAAGTAACTCGAGTTACGTAATCAGATTACTTTTTTCAAGTAACTAGTAAATAAATGCATTACTTGTAAATGTACAACAAAATATCTGTAACATAAGTTACTTTGTTTGTTTGTTTATTCACTGACACCTGTCCCCATGTTGAGAGAAATTGGGAGTGAGGTTCCTGCAGCCTAAGGCTTAATAATGACATTTTTGCTGTGAAAACTTTACAGTTTACAGAATGCATCACTAACACCCCCTTGTGAGCTTTTACTTGTCTTGAGAAAGGTGGTTGCTAACAAGTGTTTAAATGGGACCACAGAGGTTGTCGGGGATGTTAAACATCACTGAACAAAGTGATGTCTTGGGGAAGTCGTGGCCTAATGGTTAGAGAGTCGGACTCGTAACCCAAAGGTTGTGGGTTCGAGTCTTGTACCAGCAGGGATTGTAGGTGGGGGGAGTGAATGTACAGCGCTCTCTCCCACCTTCAATACCACGACTGAGGTGCCCTTGAGCAAGGCACCGAACCCCCAACTGCTCCCCGGGTGCCGCAGCATAAATGGCTGCCCACTGCTCCGGGTGTGTGTTCACGGTTTGTGTGTGTTCACTGCTGTGTGTGTGCACTTTGGATGGGTAAATGCAGAGCACTAATTCCGAGTATGGGTCACCATACTTGGCCACATGTCACGTCACTTTATATTTTATTTTTTTTATAACAGGTAAACTCAAATACTTGCTAGTTACTTTCACAGCCATACCGTGTTTATAATCACACTCTTGCAAACTATTGTAACTAATTGTAACTTTCAGCGGAAATGTTTTTTCAATAAAGACTAAAAGTAGTTTAGTTATGGTGACTATGAAGTCATGTGGCTGTGGTGTAGTTTGTTTTAGGGCCGTCAAACGATTAATCGCAATTAATCGCATCCAAAATAAAATGTTGTGCTGCTTAATATTGCATTATATTACGTATATAGAAATATACATGTATATATTTTTAAAATATTTATATGTGTGTACACAGTCGTGGTCAGAATTGTTGGTACCCTTGGTAAATATGATCAAAAAAGGCTGTGAAAATAAATCTGCATTGTCAATCCTATTGATCATTTATTTTAAAAATTTACAAAAATCTAACCTTTCATTGAAGAATAAGAATTTAAACTGGGGGGAAATCTCACTGTGAAATAATTGTTTTTCTCTAATACACGTTGGCCACAATTAATAGTACCCTTTTAATCAATACTTTTTGCATCATCCTTTTGCCAAGAGAACAGCTCCGAGTCTTCACCTATAATGCCTGATGAGTTTGGAGAACCCCTGACAAGAGATCAGAGACCATTCCTTCATACAGAATCTCTCCAGACCCTTCAGATTCGCAGCTCCATGTTGGTGCGTCTCCTCTTCAGTTCACCACACTCATTTTCTATAGGGTTCAGGTCAGGGGCCTGGAATGGCCATGGCAGAATATTCGTTTTGTGCTCAGTGACCCATTTTTGTTTTTATTTTGATGTTTGTTTTGGACCATTGTCCTGTTGGAAGATCAACCACAGCCATTATAAGATTTTTAGCATGGACAGTCAGTTTAAATTTTTTTATCTGTTGTTATTTTGATAAAATCCATGATGCCGTGTATCTAAACAAGATGTCCAGGACCTCCGGCAGAAAAATACACTAACAACATTAAAGATACAGCAGAATATTTAATTGTACATATGGGGTCTTGAGTGTTTGCTGCTAAAATCTCATTTTTTAGTTTTATCTGACCATAGAACACAGTCCTGATTTAAGGTCCAGTAGTGTCTGGCAAATTAATATGCTGGAGTTTGTTTTTGGATGAGCGCATTTTCTTTTCTTGAACCCCTCCCAAACATGTGGGGATGTAGGTGCTGTTTGACATTTTTTTTTAGGCTCAACTAATCTGTGCTATTCTGCAGCTACGATCCTTGGAGAGCCTTTAGTCACTTAAACTCTCCTCCTCAACGTGCATTAGGACGATATAGACACACGTACTCTTTCGGGAAGATCTTTAGTTGATTGGAAATTCTTAATTATTGCCCTGATGGTGGAAATGAGAATTTTCAATGCTCTAGCGCTTTCCTTAAAGCCACTTTCTAATTTGTGAAGCCCAATTATCTGTTGCTGCACATCATATTCTTTGGTTTTACTCATTATGATGGATGATTAAGAGCATTTGGCCTTTGTTTTCCCTCATATTTATATTCCTGTGAAACAGGAAGCAATTGCTGGATATTTTCATGTTCATAATCACCCTGGTGTGCTAAAAATTGTAAATATGAATGGGAATATACTTCAGAGATATTTTACATAGGCATTTTACATTAATACCCACTTCATAGGTATTTCTAAGGTTACCAATAATTGTGACCATTGTGTATTAGAGAAAATTATTTATTTCACAATGTGATTAATTATTATTTTTTTTACTTCAATTAAAGATTAGTTTTTTAAAATTATTTTAAATGAAAGATCAAATGGATAAAAAATGCAGATTTATTTTCACAGCCTTTTTTGATCATATTTACCAAGGGTACCAACAATTCTGACCACGACTGTATATATATATATATATATATACAAGGATATATATATAAATATAACAATTTTCATATATACATGCATGTGTGTGTATATATACATAATAAGTACACACATATATTTTGCAAACACAAATTTTTATTTTGGATGCGATTATTCGCGATTAATCGTTTGACGGCCCTAGTTTGTTTATAACCTACATTTAGCTTTTTACTTCTGCCGATTGAATTTATGCTTCAAAATTCATCAAATTTGAGTTAATTTGTAAAGATGATCACGATGAACAAAACATGTAAGAACTATAAACTTTTGTCAGTTGTCAGATTATTGCTATCTTCTGCAATAATCTGAAAGCTAATGGAAAAATCCTGTTGGGTTTCTGTCGAGGGAATCTGGGTGATGCTAACAAAAATAAAAATACATTGCAAGTACTTTATTTACAGCCATTCAGAAATAGACCTTTTGCCAGTTTGTTTTTTTGAAGGGCTCTTAAAAACATGAAATGAATTATTTTCCTTTGAATCTGAATCAGAACTTGATTACAAACACACTCGCAACAGGTTATTAGTTCTCTCTGACAAAATATGCCACCTACTTACTGCTCTGATGAAATACTTTTTCTGGTAATTTACAGACTCAAAGTGTTATCCTGTTATGATGTCTTTCCATTATTGCATAAATGCATCACATTCACAATGCCTACGGCAACACCATAGTAACACGGTGGCAGTTTTTTGCTAGCTGGGGACATGTCTTCACAGGTGAGGAGAAAATTGTATTGAACTTGGCGCAATTTAAGCATTACTCATGCATTAGCTATGATTAGTTTTGCAAGTGTGTGTGTGCTTATGAAATTATTGGTTTGACAAAGAAGAGATCTTACTGAATAAGTGTAAACAACTGTAGTTCTTGTTATTTGGACAGATCCGTTCATTGTGGCTACTGTTGCCAGGGGGGCAAATATTTCTTGTTCCATTTTTTTATTGATGTATAGACGCTCACTAAGCCCCTCTGCTGCTGATGATGAGTCAGACTATCCCTCCTGAACGCCTGACAAGCACAGCTGCTAACTTTAATTTATTTCTAACCTACTGAGGGAGGGAGAAATCAAGAGATAGGCTCTTAAAGGGACAGTCCACCCAGAAATTTCGCCCTTGTGTCATTCAAGAGCTGTTTGCATTTCTTTTTGAAACAGGAACTGTTGGTAAACAGGCAGTTTCAGCACCTATTGACGTCTGTAGTATGGACAAAAAATACTATGGAAGTTATTGGGACCCAAAACTGTTTGGTTCCCAACATTCTTCAAGATATCTTATTTTGTGTTTAACAGAAGAAATAAATGCATATAGTTTTGGAATGACTCGAGGTGAGTAAACAATGACAAAATATATTTTGGATTGAACTACGGGAGTTAGGAAAGTTTTAATTCTGAGTATTTTGTAAGTAGTAGTTTCAGATTAGTTAGCTCACCAGTCTTTAAGGTGTCTGTTCATTTTACTCTTTGTTGATTCATCTTTTTTACCCTGCCCATCACAATTTGTTTTCAAATTCTTTTCCTGAACAGCTTTTTATGTTTGTCCCTAAGTTGGGTCTTAACAATTCCTTTAAACAACTACATAAAAATGTAAAAGATAATATTTATACTATCACAGTGGGGCAATGGCAGAATAATGCATCTTCTTTGCAATGATCTGAAATTACTTATCTAAAACTACTTAAAAGTGTTTTGCATGTTTGGACTGCGATTCAGAGTTTTGTCCTCCTTGTACGGTTTTTTATTATTATTTTTAATTCTATTATTTTTGCATGGGACAATCACACTTCACAGTTTATTATGGTCTGTATATTACAGTCTATGGTATATTACAGGCATGGACTGTATATTACAGTCTATTATGGTCTATTATTAATTGTTCTAACTGTATATTCAAGGAGAAATTAGTCAACAATATGAAAGCATAACAATCGCCCTTCCTGTCATGGGAAAAGCTTCATTATGGATAATAATAAGCATTTGGCGCCCTCTGGTGAACATTTTTCTGCACGTATTGGTCTAATTTATTCTAGCTTGCTGTTATTGACTTTATCATCATAGCCGAGGGCCTTTCTACAAATTTTCAATTTAATTCCATTTCAATTTCATTACTAAACAAAGTAAAAGATTTGATAAAAAGACAAGTTTACAAAAAAAAAAAACCCACAAGTCTAACATAGGAGTTAACTGCAAACACACATTTTTTTTAACAAGAGAAACATGATACATTAAAAAAAAAAGTGGTGAAGGATTTTCTTTGAAACAATTTTCACACATATTGCTAGCAAATTTCACAAATAATTACAAAGAAATGGCAAGTGACGCACTGAATTAAATGTGAATATTAAGTAGAAAACTGAAATAGTAGTTTCTTGAAAAATCTACTCCAATAATCTGTTTTATTTAAAACTTAAAAAATCTTTTTACAGTGTATGATATAACAAAACAATGATATTTAAGGCCTAGAGAAAATCTTCATGATATTTTCAAGTGGGAGGAAAAAAAAAAATCCAGCAGCCCTTTTGTCTACATAAGGCAGACCAACCCTCATGTGTTTGACATCTGGTATCTGATTGAACCATGAACCCATGAGAGCTGTTGAATTGTAATGGTTATGCAGGCGCCCTGCCATGTCACCATCCAATAAATTAGACAATCATTTACCAGTGATCTCAAAACAAAATATTTATATACTGCTTGGAGGCTTTTTATTGTCTGTTAATTTTTAACTCAAATTACAATTTTAATTGTAATTAAATGTTAGATTTTAACGCTATTATTAAGCATTATTCACTAAATGTAAAATACAAGGACTCCTCATCCATAATTGTAGTGTCTGTGCGTATATGTGTCTATCAGCAGAGGTCTTCAGTATATAAAGTTATTTATGTCTTTTTAACTGAGGACCTTTATACATGTGGTTAAAGGCACGTGTGAACAGTGGGCATGGTGAGACAGTTGGACATTTCTCTTGGCATGTCTGCTGCTTGTCCATGTGTGAAGACCTCCGGTTCGGTGTGTGTGGGTAGCAGGGGATCTTCAGACAGAGCTGATGCATTCAAAAGATCAGAATGACAAAAGTGACATTAATAATGCAATTAATGAAGTAACATTGAATTGAAGATGCTTTGCAACAATGTATTGCAAAAAAGTGCTATACAAATATAAGGCAGCTTGTCTTAGCCATGCAATCAATGTATGAATGACTTTTTTTCTCACAATTTTTTATTTTCTTTTTACATTTTGTGGCAGAAACAAACAAAAAAAAAACAGAATTCCGAGATGTAAACTCAGAATTCCGAGAAAAAAAGGCAAAATTGTGAAAAGTAAATTCTGATAAATTCTGAATTGTGAGATTTAAAAAAGACATAATTGTGAGATAAAAAGTCGCAATTACCTTTTTATATATATATGGGAAGTTATCATTTATAGTTCAAGATTCCAGCTTTTCAAGCCTTATACTTCATCCGAACATAAATATTCTGTTATTACACAAAGCTATCATATGACTTTAAAAGACTTGGAATATAGTTCATGGGTCATATGGGCTATTTTTATGCACTGTAAGAAAAGCATCAGTAGAAAATGGACAAGGTGCTGGTAATTATTTGCCAGAACCTTTACAGATATTTCCTTTAACCCTAAAACACAACGCAAAAATACAGTTAAAATACCTGAGATAAACCAATATGGAAAATTAACACAGTATATTGGCAGTATTTCTTATATGGGAGAAGCTCCTGGTCACTGCTTTCATCGTATGGGAATCAGCAGCATGGACATTGTGCAAAAAATCTTTTTATGTTCCATGGAGATACAAAAAGTCATATGGGTTTGGTACGACACACAATGTTGATCTTTGGGTGAAATATCCCTTTAAACTCTATAGGATTGACAGTTCCACTACCTGTGCTTGAGATACTCACAGGCGGGTACAGGAAGGATCACGGATGTGAAGTTAAGCATTGGGATATGCTCCGTCAGTATTCCTCTGGAGAGGACAGACTCTGTAGCTGTGGTGAATAAAAGTGGCTCAGGATTTGACTCTACAGAACGGTACAGAAAGGTAAAAAAGCTACTGTTTTATTCCATTTCCAACCTGTTCATACTTTAACTGTAAGTCTGAAAGGGCCTCCATTCCCTCAGAGAACTAATGGTGGGTCTTATCTTAAGCCTGAGAGCTTAGACTGAGACAGATGGACTCTGGACTGAAATCTCCTATGGAATCTTAACCAGCTCTGAAGTTTATGCTAGAGAAAGCATAAACGGTAACTTTACAGTAACTCTCCATGATGTCTCCAGACCGGCACTGCTCACCTAAATCCAAGAGTTTATATACAGATCCTAAATCGGCAGTATGGCAACCCAGAGGAACATTTTATAGTTCAGGAGAATTTTTGGAATTCTCAGCTATCTTAGATTTTTGATTGAATTTTGTCTCATATGTTCCTCATTAAATTCCTTCAGAGAAATAAACATAGAGTAGAGAATTTTTTTGACATACAATATGAGTGTAAGCGTGAATAGAGCACTTATTACACAAATAATTCACATTGAGAAAATATAATTGAGTGCAAATTGACTATAATGTTTTCGGACACTTAATTGTTACAATGTTAGCTACTAAAATGAAAATGAACTAAATTAACTTGTATTATAGTTTAAATTTATATTAAATGCAATTAGGTGAATTTTAGAGTGCTTTTTGACACACTTAAGTAGGAGTTAAGTACATACCTTTTCATAATTTTATTGTCTTTCAAATATGGTTGAAGTGTACTGCTGAAGCATTTATGGTAAAATAAAATATACTTTAAATGTAATTTCTATCAAAACTATGTCATGTATGTAAAATATTTGTAATTACACATTTGTAATGATAAAGTTGAAATTTAGTACATTTAAAAGATATTAACTTTACATGAATAATGACAGGAAATGTATAATAAATGTTTAATAACAGTACTTCACATAAGATTTAGTATGTTCATCAAAATAAGAGTACTTTAAAGCACAACAAAATATTATTAATATAATTATTAAAACATAATGTGAAATTTACTTGAAAGTAAAATTCATTTGACATGAAAAAAAATAAAAAATAAATAAAAAAAATAATTATAAAAAAAAAGTGTACTTAAGTGTGTTAGGTGTGGCCACTTAAGTTGCCTTTTATTTCATTAATATTATATTATCTGCAAGTACAGTAATTAAAAAAAATATATACATTTAAGATTTAAAAGTACACTACACTTAAAAATAACGGTGCTTCAAAAGGTTCTTCACAGCGATGCCATAGAAGAACCAGTTTTGGTTCCACAAAGAACCATTCAGTCAAAGGTTTTTTAAAGAACCATCTCTTTCTTACCTTTTTATAATCTGAAGAACCTTCTTTCGCCACAAAGAACCTTTTGTGAAACAGAAAGGTTCTTCAGATGTTAAAGGTTCTTTATGGAACCATTTAGACAAAAAGGTTCTTCTATGGCATCGTGAAGCACCTTTATTTTTAAGAGTGTACAAGTGCACATTTAATTCAATCAAGCACTTCTTTTTTTCAAGGGTAGCCTTGTAAGAATTTGATGAGAAATTAGTTCATCATCTTTTTTAATGGAGACACATGTAAGATTTTGTCAGGAGACAAATCTGGGAAGCACAAGACTTCAGCAAGTGTCTTAATTTGCTCTCCATTTAATCTCTCGTCTGACTAGGAGACATAATTTGTGATTTTTCTTTCCTTCGGGACAAAGCACATTCGTTTTATACCTGATGCTGGCAGTGCTTCAGATCCTCTGGATGCTTCTTCTCCCAGGAGCATCTCCATCAGCAGGCTGTCCACACTGGCTTTGCCCAAGAGACGCATCAGCTGCAGCTGCTCCACCATCTGCCAGGCCACACTCTGGAGTGTGGTCAGCAACAACAACAGCTCCCCAAACCGGCCTCGCTGCTCGCTCGTGGCCTCATCCAGCAGCACCTGGGCCTGGAATCGCAGTCGGCGCACTGCCTGAGAGCACTGCAGTCCAGGACAGTCTGAAACATACACAGAGTTCAATGACATCAGTTGCAAAACAAAGTTAATTGAGAGATGTATCAAGAGTGGATGTATTGGATAGCCGAGATTTGTATGTGCATGTCTGTCAGAATTTCTGTGAACATTTTTATCTGTATAAGCAACAGTCTCAGACAGATTATTAAACTCTTTGGACAGATGGCTGCAATT